AGCTCTGTGTGTATGTGTTAGTTACCTAAGACATACTTGAAGTTCTGAACTAGGAAAATGTGGTTCACAAATGACAAATTTACAAACACAGATAAGATTTGAGTGGGAACATTATTTTTTTTATTGTCCATGCTAACAGTCGAGATATTCAGTAACTGTGCATGAGTACAGAGAACTGTTGTGCTTCACCAACAAATCTTCAATGAAAAATATTTGTACTTTCTCATTAAAAGTTATTGGGGCAAAACAGGCTATAAGCCAGGAAACTAACCTGTTTATTAACTATTTTAGTTGTTCCGAGCTAACAAGTATGTGCTCCTCCATTATTTCATTGTCTTTAAAATGATTCAGTTGGTAAGTGACAAAAGGAGCTGTTGGTCAAGTGGTTAGCATGTCACTCACTTCAGCAGACAGTTCAAATCTTTGCTAAGGCAAAGGATTTTGATCTTGAAGAGTAACATGCATAAAACAAAAATTGCTTTAACCCTTTCACCCCGGGAACACTTTTAAAAAAGAGCCATGACTCAACTAGAAGTCCAGAAAAAAATTCCTTCAAGAAACAACAATTTTTTTTTTCTGAAATATATAATGATACATGAAAGGCATATCATTCAGACTTATGAGAAAACCTTACGTCAACCTAGCTTTAAAAAAGCCATTTTGCTCTTTGGAAACCCCTTGAAATGGTATAGTTAGAAGTTAGAAAAGTGAAATTTATGTGGAACTGGACCCAAATAAGAGTTTTGGTTTTTCAGCTTCTTGGGGCTAAAGGGTTAATTAATGACCAATGAACATTACTGTGAGAAACAGGTGGACACTGAAAGGGGGAAAAAAACATTGCTGCAAAATGGAAAATTAAATTCACTATTTTGTTGCTCCCACTTGTTTTGGATATAACCAGACTCTTTGCCAAGTGGCAATACAGTTTAAAAAAAAAAAGAAACATCCAAAATGTATTTCCATATGGTGGCCTTTACATAACAAGGGACGATTTGCAAACAGTACATCAAACAGCATACACAAGTGGTACTGTTTTTCCCACCCATGCGTAACTGGGACAAAGAACAGTAACACTATAAGCAGCCATGCTTGCCACAAGAGGCAACTAAGAAGACGTGGCTACTTCAACCAGTACAAACTTAGCTGCAAAACTCAGCCAACCATGTACAAGCCGCATAATGGCCTGGCATGTTGGCTGGGACCTTATACTCTATAAGAAAAGAACAACTACATAATAAAAAAGCAATTCAAAACAACTCGTAAAGAGTCAAGCATATTTATATCATAGCCACTTCCCCCAGTCTTTCTTTGGCTACACTTTTCCCAGTGGCCATGTTAACAAGGTTGTATTGAACCCAGAACAACACTAATCAGAATAGAAATCATGATCACTCATGTGAAGTAAGTGCCCAAACGACTACACCATGATGGATACAAAGGGACAGGCAGGTTAGCACAGCTGCTGTAGTCACCATCTTGATGAAAAGAAATCAGATTTAAAAGATGCAGTAACTTCACTTCATAATTATCAGTGTAAAGATGTTTTCAAATACCCTATATAAACACTTTATGTCAAAAGTTGTAAGAAAATGTGAGAATTCGGTTACATGTCTTAACAGAAAAAGCTTTAATCTACAAACATAATGGTAAACTAAACACAGTCTCTACAAATAGTGCCAGGACTTTGTGCTTTGGCAAATTTGTCTCAAAGCAAACAGGTCTTGCCAGTCACTCTCCATCATCATGAGCTATGATTTACATACCAATCTGTAGTATAAACACTTATCTTGTCTGGAAAGATGGAAAGGTGTCAAAGAATCAAACTAATGGTGAACATTCCTGATTAGTCACAATCTTGTTTGATTACAAACTAGTGATACAATTTACAAGTTTCAAATAAGGACTATGTGATGAACTACAAAAATCTCACATTCTTGTTATGCTTATAAATTACATACTTGCCTAAGACATAATGCTGAAGTTACAAAACACAGAGAACTAAATAAGAACAGACTGATTCACTGTGCACCAAAATTGTAGCTTATTCAATTTTAATAGTTCTGACTGACAATTACAGTGTACAGAAGCTAATTTATCAAAGGATAAGTTAAGTTAGTTGTGTATCCTTTACAGGACACTGCAGATCCAACCCCACCATTCTGTGGTTATTGCGTTTTTTGTCTAGGCATATTTTACATTCAGTGATTTGCCACTGCTTTCTAAGCGGCCAGTTCTCGGTACCACTCTCGAAACAAACACAAGACAGTGTCTGTTCGTGTCATGTGCTGATGAAGGTTTTCTAGCCGCAACATTCATTTGTTATATGTAACTGTAACAGTGTAAAGCTGACTTGTTTTACTCTTTGTGTGGTTATCTTTCACGAACGACATCATGAATCACAAACTTTTAGAGAAATCTTGATTGCAAGTACTACTTCTAGCCTGAAAAAGTATACATATAAATCAACACAACGTGAAACTGAATGTTTCTTTCACAGTGGAGATCACCTGAATACTCTAGCAGCAAAGATCCCTTTTCCATGCCATCAGGCGTATTGGGCACAGAGGGCCAGGCCTATATTTTATAGACCAACCGACACTATGTGGGTGATAGATATGGTCGGCATCACGCCGGCCACCTCTACTTCCCAGGACTTCACCTGGTACCCACTCAAGACTGGGTCAACCTGATAGCCAAGGTCACTTTGGAAAAACAGTCAGCCTTAGTCAGGACCCAAACCCCCAACATTCCCATCTGCAGGCGAGTGTCTAGCCACTCCACCATGGCCCTCTCAGCTCTAGCGGTGTATGTACTAATTTTATTAAGCTGAGCAACCGACTTCTGTAAAAGCAAATTAATTAGTATTTTCTTATCTTGAATTAAATAAAATAAAAAAAACAACTGTGCCATCTCCAGAATGCAGGTTGGCTTTAATGTATCTACAGCCCCAATCTCTTCTCCAGTGCAACTCTTCTACTCCTGTTCCCTGAGCCAAGAAAACAATCATTTTCTAAACTGCCCACTGAGGGATCAAACCGTAGCAAACATTGAAGATTGGTCTGTGAAATGATTTCACTAACCTCTCAAGCCAGATGGCCGCAAAAAAAAAAAAGAAAGAAAATTAATGCTCAGTTCCCTACATGGCACATACAAACTGATAAACACAATCATTGTTTAAAAGAAATCTACTTAGTCATTCACAAGACATCAGTTATTAGAATGTTCAACTTCCCTACTTCATGTAGCATCCCTACCCAAATTTCATTTTTGAATCTGATTAAACTTTAATTGTAGAAACGTTCCCCCATATCTTGAAGCACTCAAATTCACAATTATTACATGTCACAAATTTATCATTGTTAACAATATCTGTCTGACAAATATTATGTTAAACTTCCTCATTCTATAAATGACACTGACTAAAACTTCTATTACTCAACTCTAAAGTTTTAAAGACTTATTTCCTACGATATTTTAATCAACAAATTATATAAGGAAAACTTAAATTATAACAAATAAATAGCAAACTAAATTTAAGAATCTTTCTTTAACCAATTTAAACTGGCAAAATAATTTAAAACCCTAGTGATTAATTTCAATGTGAATAAAGGTATCATGATGATGATGATTGGCCAAGAATCCAAAAATTTAACGAGTCTATCATAACAAGCACTTGGGTGTAGTCATACTCTACCATCTCATTACTCTGACACAATGGCAAACAAAGCAAGACTACTAAGGTATGGATGAGTGAAGAAATCTAGGCTGCTACAGTTGCAGACTGTGTTATGCTTGCACTCTGTCACAGAGACACTATTCTACACAATAAGACTGTACACCAGTGATTCCCAAACTGTGCGCCACAGCGCCCCGTGGAGCCGCAACCTCTTCACAGGGGCACAGCAAAATATTTGAAGATACACGAGTTTTATTTGTTTTGATCTCTTACATATGAATAGTCATACTTTTACTTAGGTTAGGGCGCACAGAAAAATTTTAATTAAAAAAAAGGTGCTGCGACTAAGAAAAGTTTGGGAAACACTGCTGTATGCAGTTCCCATTAAATTATAAATAAATATCACCGACTACAAGCTTCTTTTCTACAAGGAATGCACTTATTTCATTCAGTAGTGTTACACTGCAGTTTGCAACCAAAAAAAAAATTACATTTCCCATCTCGTAATTAGAAAATCTATGATCGATTGCCTACATGGCACTTGTAAATTATTAAACACAAAATTGAAGAAAAAAAATCACAATAATGTAAATCTGTTTAGTAATTCAACAACAATACCTCATTTCATTAGCCACTGTATGTTAAATCATATTTATGTTAAATTCGACTTATTTCCCACTGTAATTAAATCTCACTCTTAGTGACTGCAACCTTCTGATGTATCCAATTTCTTATAACATTTATCATGATTACATCCCCTAGGGAGCCAGAATAGTGCAGCGGCCAGGCACTCTCTCTCTTGTAGGTCTAGGGTTTAAATCCGCATCGAGGCGAACTTTTTTTTTCTTCTTCTTCCAAACTGATCTTCACTCCCAGGTCCACGCAGCCCATAATGGGTACTAGGTAATGTCATGGAAGGTAAAGGCAGCTGGTGTGATGTTGACCGTGTCACTCACAGAGTGCAGACTAGTCTATAAAATTTTAGGTCTAGCACTTTATGGATGCCCCACCTGCCAAAATGTGAAAAGGGTCCTTTACTTGAAGTCCATCCCTCTTCACTATATTACTAAAGGAAAAAGTTTCTTATTTTGTAGTTTTACACAAACCTACATTACACTGGGCTCACCCTTATAAAGACTGACCATTCACAAAACAAAACAAACATAGCCTTTATTCTGTAACCAAATTACATCAACATATTAATTACAATCTGAACCATTAACTTCAATTAGTTTTAAATTACAAGCTCAACTATGGCTATTTTTTGTTGTTGTTGTTGTTGCAAATACATTCATCTTGAATAGGCTGAGTGAATAGAAAACATCTATCGTGCCAAAGCACAGATAAGACTGGCACACATCTCAAAGAACTCAAGAGTCTGATGCGGCTGGCCCAGATTTTCCAGGCTATCATCGGTGTCCATGCGCTCATCAATGGACAGCTGGGAGCTGGAGTGAGAAGGACTCGTTGGGTTGATTGACGTAGTGGAGGGACTCACCTCCAGTGGATCGTTACTGCTGTTGAGGCTCTTGAAATCCAAGAGGTAACTTTTCTGATCAACCTGGTACAGCTGCAGGCTAAGTCTTGCCTACACAATGAGAGATATCCATAAGTTAGGCTAGCAGCTGTCATAGACTAACTCTTGCCTATACAGTCAAAGATACCATTAAGTAACTAAAGGTTGTCACAGACTGATCACTGATTTTTTAAAATAATTAACACCAGGCAGAGCCAGAGATGCTTCAACTTCTGTATCAGATGTCTCAAAGATGCTGACTGTTCCAGTAGTACACTGGCCGAATAAACATTGTGCTCATTCTCTCTTACACCTTCCTGTTAGATGCACACTTAATTGCAAATTCATCCAACCTTTCCACAAATCTCTCTAGTTTCCTTTGTCTCATAATGTAACCTAAAAATTACGACTCTTTCTGAGCTTTGTGACAAGCTGTTTTCGGGCCTTCGCCTCTGTAAAAAACACCCTGATTACTCATTCCGCTGTTCAAGATATTTTAATAATACTTCTACAGAACTATCTCTGAGGTCTCAAGAAACTGTTGGATAGTTTGTTAACGGTCCCGATTCACAACCATTTCTCAAAATGGCTCTATATAGCCTGCAAGAAAAAAATTTTTTTTAACCGCTAATGAGAGGGACTTATTGTATAACTGTTCTTCATTTTATAAAATGCAGTTTCTGCGTGTCCTATTCTGTTCTCTATCTCTAAGAAAGTCCTTAAGAAAGAGAATAGGGGCTATTGAGCTGAAATGCTATAGAAAGATTCTCAGAATATCTTGGACAAAGAAGAGGAGAAATATTGACATCTTAAAAGATCTGAACATCAAGGAAGATTGGCTAATAAACAGCATCCTTTCTCAGAAGCTGGAATATTTTGGTCATATCAAGCGCCACGACGGATTGGAACAAATTATAGCAGAAGGCATGGTACCATGAAGGAGGGGCAGGAGCCGACCGACACGAAGATGGGCACAGGATATAAGTGACTCCTTGAGTATGAAAGTACATGAGGCAGAAGAACTAGGTGAGAGACCGAGTTTCTTTTAGGCAGACTGTGATGAGAGCGACGTTCTGCAAAGGACCTGCTACATGACGATGATGATCTCTAAGAAACATTTTGCATCTGATGTTATCCAAGGGTCTAGATTCTTAAACTTCTGACTTTGTCCCTAAATAATGTCACCAACTCCTATCATACATTCAGGCACAGTAGCCATGTTTTATATTATCACATTAGACACTCAAGTGATTATCATCATCATCAATTTCAACTTCTGCTGTTAGGTGTTGTCGGAAGATACAGTTTGTGGTCCGGTACTCTAAGGGTGGCATACATGTGGATGTATTATCTTAATGTTATCAATCCATCTTCTTTGGGGCATCCACGGCTATCACATCAGATCGGTTGTATTTTTACACATCTTTTCCATTCCCTTCACCAAGCTTTCTCGTCACATTTTATGTTTAATTAGCACATCTTTGTAGGTGTAGAGTCTATGACAGTGCAGGGATCATTGTAAATGTAACTAAGTGGAAATAAAGTATGACCAGATAGATATACAGGTTAAAAGACAACAAAATATACTGTAATTGGTATCTTCTTCTCAGTCCATGCCATGTGGTGGTGGTATGTTGGCAGTCATGAATATCCACAGCCTTCTGTCCCTTGCATGTACTTTCAGTCAGTTATGACACAGATGATCCCCCTATCCCATGAGGTCAAACTATCCAGCATTTTCTCTCAAGATGTCCCTTTGTTCCTCTCCCTCTACAACTTTCCCACCTTACATACTCAAGTTTTCTCATTCCCATGACTGACCAAAGAATGTAGACTGTCTCCTTCTGATCAGTTCAATTCATGAGTTAATTTGTTTTATCTTCATTATTATTTTTATCTATTTATTCCTCTCACCATTTATCTATAGAAGCACATCTCTGCAGCTTCCATAAAAATGGTATATAATCCTCAAATTAGAGGTACTAGGAAGTCAAATTCACATATATATATATATATACAGCAAGGCCAGATGCAGCTGCAAGAAAAACAAGAAGTCTTCAAATGCAACGTTTCCCTGATTAAAACCAGTTTAATAGGACATCCAATGCCTAAAGTGCAAAGACCAATAATTGTTTCTACAGACAAGAAAGCAGATACCAAACTTACAAATCTTTGCGTCACGTGGTTCTTCTTCCGGACTCTGACGTGCCATTGGTTAATCACCTTCCATTCCTGTGTAGACACAAAATATGCAAAAATATATGCTAAATATAAACTTGCAGAATAGATGAACTTTCTAATTTAAACAGAAAACACACATTCACTTAATGAAAGTGATGTAACAAACTATTCAGATATACTCAAAATTTATATTAACTTAGAATTTCCAATTGACTAGCAGCTTTCAAAAAATAAAACAAAAAAATTACAATTAACTAACTCCTTGTTTTCAATCACTAGGGGGCTGCGTGGTCTCGATCTATGGTGTCCGCCTCAAGTGGCAGAGGTCTCGGTAAAGGCTGGGATTTTTTCTGTTACGTGGACTTCTAGTAATTTCCTATGGACCCTGGGTAGTGAGATCGGACGCCCATGTGTATTGTTGCGCACTAAAAAAAAATCCCTTGACAGTTGAAAATCGAAAAGAGTAGCCTAATGGTTCTGCCCAGGCAAAATTTGGAGTTAAAAATCTATTCAAAGAATATCTCAGGATCCTTGCCGTGCAACAGAGTTTGTGCACTGCGCTGAGATTCTTTGAACTCAGGCTTGAGTTAAAAGAAAAACGAAGCACTCATGGGTTACTACCCTTGTGTCATGAAGTTGATCCGTTGTTCAAACCTTCACTCACTAATGCATGCTGGGTCACAGTTTACCAAGAATGAAATATCTTAAATTTGAAAGAAAAAAGAACAAAAGAAAAAAAAAACTTGCAACTGTCTGCAGTTACCACATTTGAGCATTTTAGGGTGGTGGACAGGTGGGAGTGTCTTGGACCTAGGGATTTAGTTTTGTCCAACTGAAAAATTCAACAGCTTACTGATTTCTTTCTTTTGTTCTTCCCACCCACGGTTATCAGATGAGAGGACCACAGGCCCCTATGAAGTTTGTAGTGCCACAGGCCTCTATGAAGTTTGTAGTGCCACAGGCCTCTATGAAGTTTGTAGTGCCACAAGCCTCTACGAAGTTTGTAGTGCCACAGGCCTCTATGAAGTTTGCAGTGCGATGCATGTCTTCCGACTTTCCATACAGGTTGGTTTCCACTGGAATGCCAAACCTGGGATCTGCCTACTGCATTCCCCCCCCCCCCCCACCACTTTTTGTGAAAACGCTACCAGGTCAGGAGATAAGATTATACCAACTACTCTAATAAATACAGCGGTGGGAAAATGTCTGTCCTGGGGCCCATATAAAGCCCAAGAAATCCTTTCGGTCTGGACATCTCAAGACAACAGGAATTAAATGTCTGCCCAAAAGCGGCAGGCTAAATTTTAAGCTGGTAATTCTGTATATTTCGCAAATGATGTTCTGAATTTTAAATATTCCCACCCCTGCTCTAATAACGGATTCAAGGAATCAGAACTCAAGGCAATGTGGGCATTTTTATACTGAACATTTCGCCCTGCAAAAATTCATGGGGGGAAATCCTTTCCACTCACACACACACACAAAACCAACTATATACAAGTAACTAATACATTAAAAACAAAATATTATTTCAATGTTTTACATTATTGTTTCAAAGTATAATAAAGGTATATAAAGGGGGTAATCAATAAACAAGAACAGAGTGAAGCATTAAATGGAATACATTTCCTGAGACCTAAAACAAATATGTATTGGGTGACTCATGCAGAGATCCTGTGACCCCTATCACTGAGGCTTACAGGAAAATTTGACATCCTGGCTTCAAATAGCTATTGGAGTCACAAGGACCCCCCCCCCCCAATGCTATTTTTAGTTACTATATTCATATCCTTGCCTATTAAACACTATGCAGGTGTAAGTTTAACCAATGGCATTTAATTACTCTTTCTGAGAACAGGTCACAGGAGAAATGGTAATACATCTACATTTACGGGGTCATGTCACTATCAGAAGTGAGTAGATTTAGCCTTCTCAAGGCGACAAGGTTAAACCTGCACAGGATGTGTAGAGTCACTGCTGTGTAAAGTGTATCCACAGTTCTTTACAATGACTAGCTCTAGTGCTGGCTAACAATGGGAGTTTACTACAGTCTCCACTATGATGAATCCTTTTTCAGCACAAATGCTATGAGCCTTTTAGAGTCACACCATAACCTCATGATGATAACACAAACCACACAGAAGATGGACCGCAGAAATATCTGAGACACTGAAAAGTACTATATAAGAAGCAAAAATAAAAAGGGCCCGGTTCCAGATATCGCCTCCTGCCCTGATGCTGCAAGGCATTCCAGGAGCAGGAAAAAGAAGATAATGCATAGAAAAAGTGTCTTCACTGTCACAGGTAAATAAAGGTCTTCTTTCTACACCAGGGTTGCAATTAGAATTTACCTGGCAGCCAGTTATGGCTGGTCCACCTGGGACATTTCTTTTCTTCTTCGCGTTCACCAGCTGTAAAGTTCTGGTTGTTCGACCACTTCTGGACTGCAGTCCTGTTCCAGAACTTGAGTGTTGCGTGTGAATCTGTTTGACAAATCTGACACATTTGTGTGCAGACTGCTGGTTCCTTGCCTCTCAGGCAGATGCATTCCGACTTCGAAGGAAGCTGCCAATTAGTCTACTCTTACAACATGCTTTTGGGTAGGTAGAGGGTCTATTCTTGTTTTCCCTTTTATAGGGCCCCGGAACCCACACGGGGGACATTTCTTTTAAAACTGTGGCTCCATTCGGATTTGAACCAACGACCATTAAATCTGCAAGCGAGTATCTAGCCACTACACCATGGCAGCCCTACTGTCCTAAGTGCTTCCACTATATATACACCCCAACAAAATGTATCCGTTTCTTATGAATACTCACATAATCCAAGGATTTCATGGCACGATACACTTCATGCATGATGTCCTGCGGTTTGCTCTGAGAACGAATTCCTGTTTACCAATAAGCACAAGTAGAAAAAGAATGGTAGAATAATCAGAAAATGGATAAACATTGCTTTCATACTTTAACAAGTGATTAAATCTTAATTTTTCTGTTATTACCAAAAACAAAAAAGAACATTATCAAGTCCACCTTTAACAATGTGGTTCTCCAAGGAGGTGATGCATTCTAAGTGTGACAACCAATGTATTACTGGAACAATCAGCAATCTTAAATTTATTGAGGGAGACAGAGGATCTATGGCTTTGCTTAGAGTTATATGCTGACAATCAATCAACAGCCACAAATCTATTTTCTGAACAGCAGTGAGAAGCTTGATCAGGAGCAGAATCCGCACAGAACCAATACAGAATTTTAAAGGCACATAATAAATCAAATGGTTTGGCCATGTAACAAGATTAGCATCAGACAGGACATCAGAGAGAGCAATTTTATACAGATACAGCAGTTACAGTGTCAGAGGTCGATCATGCAGAAGATTGACTGCAGAAATATCAGAGACTGAAAAGTATTTTATATGAAGCAAACAAAAGGGCCCGTTCCAGAGATCTCTTCCTGCTCCGACACCGCAAGGCATTCCAGGAGTAGAGAACAGAAGAAAGAAGAAGAGAAACTTGCCTCCATACAGGAAGAAGGGATAGTTACATAATTACCTACCATGCATATCATAGGAGGCAGTAAAGGGGAGTTGACAAGAGACTGGCTATCTCCTCCAATAGAAAACTTCAGCTGCAAAATTCAATCAATTAAAGAGATGTGGCCTGGTTTGTTTGAGCATCTATGCTTCATTGAAAGTTGCCAGGCAGAAGACAACACTAGCAGCTGTCGGTGGCTTTAGAAATCAAGGGGAAAAGCCAACATTTCTTAATAAATCCACGTTTTCTAAATTTATTTCAACAGACTCTCCAATTCTACTCATTGAGTTAAGCCAACTCATTTAGTTAAGCCAACTCATTAAGTTAAGCCAACTCATTAAAGACGTATCGCTAGTATACTGGCGAATAAATTTATCCCTAATGGACGAATTGCCTGTATTTTGGCGAATGATAGAGACACTCTAATTTTGTTCTGATTGTAGGGAAAATGAACATTTATGAACAAGTTTTTGAACAATTAGGGTTAACACCAGGAAGTCCTTTTGTTTGCGAAGTTTATCGTGGTGGGGGCATTATTTTCTGATTTTAAAAAAGTTATTTGGATGGGATACACTTTTTACATAATTTCTTTATACTAAATGATTAGGAAAAAGCTATAGAACTGTTCATACTGTTCTGTCGTTAATGAATCTCTGCCAGATGGTAACAACAGTCTTGATATTATGATTGATACCTAAGTGACAAACCTATTGGCGATAATTTATTTTAGGATATGAAAATTTAACAAAATATTTCAATCGGATCGTTTCATCAGCTGTTTTCCTGATTTTCGGTTGTTGTGAAATTTGACATATCATACAAAGTGATCATAATATCCGAAGTATTATTATTAATTGTTTCAAATAAAGACTAGCTGATACACAATTGAACAGAGAAGGCATGTGCATTCTAAGAATTGGATAGCAGTGCTGCTGAACAAGTAAAAAAGTAAGGTAAGCACAACATTTTTATGTCAATAATTTTCATGTGTGTCTGATATTCTTGAATGTTGTGGATTTTAATAATATTTTCTTGTAATACTGACATTTAAAATAGCTTAGATTTATTCTGCACTCATTAATCTTTATTTTGATATATTATATGTCCCGATACAGCCAATACTTTTTCTTCAGGAAGGTTTTAGCTTTGTCGTGTTGCAGTAAACAAATTCTGCTAAAAATTAATGCTGTCAAAACCCCAGAAAAAATGTGGTCCTGAAAGAGTCAGAGAGATCTGGCCTGGTGTGTTTGAGCATCTATGCTTCACTGAAAGTTGCCAGGCAGAAGACAACACTAGCAGCTGTCAGTGGCTTTAGAAATCAAGGGGAAAAGCCAACATTTCTTAATAAATCTATCATGTTTTGTAAATTTATTTCAACAGACTCTCCAATTCTATTCTTTAATCACCAGTACAATATGGCTAGTTATAATTTACAATATGAAGCGCTTTCTCATATATAAAAACTGAAGATGTCTTGAAAGAAACTGACTCATTGAGAGAATTGACTATTGACATTAGAAGAAGACATTCTTTGGTCCATGTGTGACGGTGGGAAAGCTGGGGGAGAAAAGAGGCAGACAGAGACCCAGAGAGAAGATGCTGGACAGTCTGACATCATGGCATAGCAGATAATCTGTGTCCGAACTGATTAAAAGTATATGAGAAAGAAGGTTGTGGATAGGCATGACTACCAACACCATATAGCATGGATTATAAGAAGAAATATAAACATTCTTGTGTTCAAAGTGTTCTACATATAAATATACAAAAATATCATAGTTATATCCCATCTATGAAAGTTAGAACAACACTGACCTGATGTTATGAGAATCAAATCAACACAATGAGATGTATGAGATATCAAGGCTATAAAGAGGTATTCTAGGCATTAGGTAAGAGACAGTTCCTTTGAGGTGCAGGAGAGGAAAGCATGCAAGATGAAGACATGCCATGTGGATGGACAACATGAAAAGATAAACTATCAGAGACGACATGCAATAGACTTCCTATGCAATAATGGTAGTGAATAATGATGATTTATTTAATTATCACTATTTATACAGAGGCAATATTCGGCTGACTTCTTTCGATGCAGCACTGGTAGTGAAGGAAAAAAAAACGATTTTGTTTTCGTACTATTTTCAGATGGGATAAAGTGTCAATTGGAGTGATGGTAATAAACAATGATATTATTATTATTACTGAATATGTTCTTCTTCTTCTCCCCTTTCTACAATTACTTAAAGTGTTGGGAGGAGATGTAAGGATTTCTTGTGTGCTCTTTCCAATGTGTCAGGAAAAGTTTATCCTTCACTTCTTTAACGTTGTTAAACTGCATTCCCTAATTCCCTTCACTATGTGTGTGTGTGTGTGTTTTGTGTGTGTGTGTGTGTGGGGGGGGTTGGGGGGTGTCTGTCTTACTTTCTATGCCCCTGTGGGTTTCAGTGTAAAGACATTCTATTCACACTGTTCTCAAGTTTTCTGAACTTGTGTCCTATCCAATGCCAGCATTGTTTCTTCACCTTTTGTTGGACTGCAAAATTTGTTTATTCTCCACATATGTGATTCTATAATACCACTTAATTCCCTCTTTTCTGTGCAGACATCACTTAATAAGTGTTTGTAGTTTATTAGTAACTGTTTTAGCTCTTCTCCAAAATTCCGCTCTAATACAGCAGTACTGATCTGACATTAGAGCTAAATATTTAAACATCAGTACCTCCAAATTTGACCTCTCTATGTTGACCACATCCCTATGTTGACCTCAGTGTCACTGATCAGACGGTCAGCACAGATTCTCAACAGAAGACTAACTTAAAATGTTGACCACCTCTGTAAGCCCTATGCAGACCACTTGGACCAGGTCACACAAAAGTAACTTAGCCTCTCTAACTGGAATAGCTGGTCTTAACCAGCGGTGTCCTTTACCACAGTTAAAAAAGCATAATGGTCTTGTGTACTTTTGATGTCAAAGAACAAAGAAAAATGTAGTGCCTAGATCAGACTGCGTAGGACATATAAGGAAGAACTTTGACTACAACATCTTTAATTCTGACAAGTGCAGAGTCTTTTTCAATATGATGCCCGTCAAGTGCCTCACCATGAACTGTTAGACCTAACTGATACGATTTCTCATTTAAATTATCTTACATCTTATTTTGGAGAGAGATACATTTGTTAAAGAAATTATAATAAACACAAGATTTTCCTCTTTGGAATGAATAAGCAAAGATCTTCTTTTTCTTAAGACTGATGAAGTACATGACCTTATTTTAGACTTGTATTTTAAATAATTTAGTTTGCTGAACAACATGATCATTTCAATTTGTCTTCTTCTTATTCTTCTGCGTTCATCCAAAGATGAAACTGCAATGTGTCCGTTTACATAATGGCTGCGATATTTGCACCTTTCGACCAATACATCCGACTCCTGCGGGCATTTGTTGACCAGGTCAATGTGTCTTATTGACTCACCACATACAATATAAAACTTACAAGGGTTAGATGAGATCCTTCAGATAAACAATTACATTATATACTTTTTCTTTTTTCTGTATGTAGCATCTTGTGTTATCGCTGTCAACCTTTTGGCTCAACAATAAAAAAAAAAATGTCAGCAGACCCTTAATTGTCTTCTTTTACAACATACTTGTTTAGGGGCAGTTGCTACTATTTAAAAATCTGGAACAGTTTAACTCATATGGGGTAAGGTTTATGTGCTATGTCCCACACACATAACAGCATCACTGTAAGCCTCTTTGTAAATTTAAAAAAATAAAAGACAATTACAGTAATGTGTGGCTCTGGCATGATGGCATTATAGAGTAGTTGCCAAAAGGAGTTTAGTGTAAAATAGTCTTATAAAGTGCAAACACCAATAACAGTTTCTACAGACAAGAAAACAGACACTGAACTTACATAACTTTTATGTCACTGGTTTTTTTTTTTTAACTCTGACATAGCATTGGCTTTTCCTGCCAGTATGCAATGGCACACAACGGCACGCAGCAACGGCACCTCTTTATCTAACTACTACTGTAATGTGAACTTTGTGGTGATTATGTGCACCTTTTGTTTTTGTTAAATAAACTTCGTGGTAAGTACTGGCACCTTTTCTCTAGGATAAAAGCCTGTTAATTCTTTTTACACTTAATTTATAAACTTCAGAAAGAAACAGCCTGAGAAACAAAACAAAACAAAAAATTTTTTTAGTGAAATGATATAAGATAGACATGTCAGTCAAAAAGAGGTTGGTGACTGCTAAAGACAGACTGAAACAAGATGGCTTAAGGCATAAACTATGACCAAGAAGCTTAATAGAGGAAAGGGAAAAGATTCACACAAATAAAAACATTTCAGCTAAAGTCTTTCTCAAGAAGAAAAAAAAAAAAGCAGGAATCATAAACTCACAAATTACCAAGAAGGTCACATAAAATGGAAATGTACAAAATAGGGACAGAAAGAGTTATTGCAAAGTGTTTAGCTTCTTCATCATAGTTTTAGTTTATATGTCAAGTTATTTTTTGACAGTAGTTTGAAGGGCATTAACCCGACTTTCAACATAACTTCTGTACAATAAAAGCATAAATAAAAGCAAATAGGAAATATTGCAACGGTATATTCCGAAGGTATGACACATCTTCTGCGTTCTGCCTATAAATAAACAAAAAAAAAGGGATGCCTGGCACACAATGTTGTATTTACAGCAGTACTGCAATGCTCTTACAATTTCAGCAAATAAGTATTTGTCTTTTAGGACATGCTTGTTAAGGAGCAGTGGCTCTATTTTTTACCCAAAAAAATGTAGCCCTGGAACCCACTCAGGGAACATGGGGAATAAGAACATTAATGCCTTATAAGACACATGGTATATAAGAGAAAGAAAACAAACAATTATAAGAGTTAGAAGTTGGGTTATCTTTATGGCCCTCCGGGACACGCCCATAGGTGCTCAGATTTCGCTTTCAACATTTAAATCAGCTTTGTGCGGTTAATGGTGTCAGTCCTATGCAGGCTGACAAGTCTTTCTGTACGTCCTGTGTGCCTCTCATGCCTGCAATCTTTACCCCCAATTCTGCATTCCTAGCAGTAATATGGATCCACTGTCCCCAAAATCCTCCAACTGTCCTATTCTCTCTCAGGGTATTAACAATGTTGGCGTGAACTACAGGACAGCCAACTGCAACTAAGGCCGAACAGGCCAGTCTACCAGCTCTTTCACTGCCAAAAAACTGTAAATGATTCAAATGATCTGTTTAGAATTGTCACTGATAAAGCAAATCGAATAGCTTACCCAAGTGCCATTTTGCCTTTTTCGGATGCGTGCTGTTCTTGTTTTGTATGATTGGGTCCAAAGTATGGGAGGTGTTCTTCATTTCTAAATTAAAAGAATTAAACTGCTACAAAACAAGAAAAAGAAAAATGCGCACAAAACTCACTCCAGCAAAATTAAATTTGGATAAATTAAAGAAAAAGCAAAACCAAGGAACATAAATTATAACTGTAGTCCTGAGGTTTACCCAAATCAGTCCCATTAAAAATATCATGGAACTGGAATCAGTGGAGGAAAGATGCAACATATAAGTCTTGTACAAGCTGAAAGATGCTGGAACAATGAACCACCCCGCATATATTTTTTTTTAAAGGGAGTCAACATTTACATAAAATGCCTTTATCGTATCCATTCTACATCAATCTTCAAAGGCAAGCTTTGTAACAAGTTTAGTGCTGTAGCAGAAGATTTGAAACAAGCAGCAGAAACACTTATTCACATTTAAACAACTTCTTACCAAAACACTTATTCAGAGCAGGGGCACGTTTCAAGGAGCAAATAATTTTTAACTTACGCACCCAACAATTTGCCAGAGAACTAGATAAGTGAATCTTTCCTATAAAGACTTGACCATCATGATGTTGCAGGTAATTTGCAGAATCTTGCTTTTATCATAGCAGGCCAGTATTTCATTTGGTCCTATACTAACTTCCCAGCCTCATGACCTGTCAAACCCAGGGTGTCCTTGATATCTGTGCCCCCTGCTTCTTTTTTCCAGGAACTAAACACCCCCAAATTGTTCTTCTCAAAATCATTATGGTGTTTAAAACTGCCAAAGTATTTCAGTTTATGAAGAATGATATTGTTTATTGCTCCAGTTCTTCTTGATAATCAGACTACAAACAATGTCAGTATTTGTTCTCTTCCTGGTCCATGATACTCTACAAATCTTGCTGTAACATTCAAGTTAAAAAGTGAAAAACTTGACCAAGGTTCAACAAATGCCAGATTCAGCTGACACCAGCCTACTGCAACATCGGGAAACTAAAAAAACAACAAAAAACAAGACTGATTAGAAAAGCTGGGTGGGTCTCTACAACATGATTTGAGTACAACTTACAAAGCTGCAATAATTTTTACAGAAGTCAAGCCAATACAGAGAATATACAACCCTGACCAAATAAATACTGATGCTTGTAATCAAATTTCGCAGAAAGGTCAGGTCATCATTTTTTTTTAAAGACTGGACAGTACACAATGGGTTAAAATATGATCTACATGACAAGTTCCGGATAAGTTCATCAGATCTTTAAATCTTTTTGGGATGTGTGTGTGTGTGTGTGCATGCCTGTGTGCGTGTGTGCAGGTGTTTGTGTGCATTAGCATATATGAGTGTCTTCTTCTCGCTCTCCAGCTGTAAACTCAGCAACAAACTTCTGGTTGTTCATCCACGTCTAGACTTTAGTCATGTTCCAGAGTCCTGCATGCACATTCTGGTTTATCTATAAGCACCGTTAGTTCCTCACGCTTCATACGGACGATGCACTCTAACTTTAAAGAAATTAGGCCTAGCCAGTAACCTCCAACAACATGCTTGTGAAAATGGGGAAAGGGGGAGGGGGGGGGGGCAATGGGACTATTCTCTGTTCCCCCAAACTGCAGCCCCTAAACCCTCATGGGGAGTGCATGTGTGTGACGAAAGCCCCATTAGAGCAAGTAACCTTCTACAGCCCTACCCAATTTAACAGTAATGAATGTCAATAAATTCTGCTTCTAGCAACTTCATTCCGCCAAAACACTGTACAGAAATGTTATGAACTTGAAACTGAGATAAGTGATTTTATTATAGACAAGGTGAAGGTCAGTGAACAATTCAGGGGCAAGAAATTTTAAAACAAAAATGATAATACCTACTGATTTTATTACAGACAATGTGGAAGTCAGTGAATAATTGAGGAGGGGGAAAGCTAAATAAAATACCATGTACTTATTTTATTACAAACAACAGTGAATAAATGATGAGGAAGAAGAAAAAATACAAAATATGGTACAAACATTTTAAAATTCACAATACTTGTGCCACTTATTTTCATGGCTGAAGTTTAATTTTCAAGTGTTGCTATGGCTAGTTGAAAAATCATGTTTTCATATCCCAAGTTATAGTCTTCTTCTTCTGCCTTCCTAGCCCCCAATGGAGCATAAGCCCTCAACAAACTCAGGCCAAGTCCTTCTATCCTTTGCTATCGCATGCAGCTCTCCCTATCTTTCTAAATCCAGCATCCTTCTTCATGTGTTTTTTGGCCTTTCTTTATTCCTATGCCCCTGTGGGTTTTAATGCAAAGATATTCTAGCTACATTGCTCTCTGGTTTTCTCAATGTGTGTCCTATTCATTTCCTGCGTCTTTTCTTCACTTCTTGGTCCACTGGAGCTTGTTTAGTTCTCTACCAAAGCTCTACATTAGTGATTCTATCATACCATTTAATTCCCTCTATTCTGCGCAGGCACCAGTTAATGAATGTCTGTAGTTTATTAGTAACTACCTTAGTTGTTCTCCATGTTTCTGCCCTATACAAAAGTACTGATTTTACATTAGAATAAAAAATTTTAAGTTTAGTGTTTCTTTTAATCTCCACAAATTTCTTAATTATATGAAAGCTCCTATTGCCTTTTGTATTTTTATTTCAATCTCTTATCAGTTCCTCTATCTGTATAGTACTGACTTTAAATTATAAGTGTCTGTTTCTTCTATGCCAAAAAGAAAGACTTTAGTAATATTTTCCTTTCATTGTTACCAACTTTTTTATATCAATTTAATTGTTAGACGTGTACCTTATTCAACATGTTACAGAACCAACCCCACCATTTTTTCCCGCTTGTTTTTGGTTTTATTTGTCAATTTTACATTCTGTAGTTTGCCACTGCTGTAGAAATGCTTAGCGCTCCATATATCTTGTTTAAATCAATGTAAAAAGGTTTGCTGCCAAATGGTCTGCAGCTGAATCGAACAGGGTATTATTAAATTTGAAGTGCATTTGCAACACCCAAGCCACAGACGTCCTCATTTATATCAATATACTTGTTAGAATTAAATTATTATCCCCTTCGTTGGACACACCTAAATTCAACATGGATTAACAGATTAAAGTAATCAAGTTCAAAATATTAAAACCATCAAATCATATTTTTGTGAGTTTTCACTGATAACTTATAGCTTAAGCCCCCCTGTTTAGTCATATTCCTCATCTTAGCATTCACAGGTTGTAAACTCTGGCGGAAATATTGGTTGTTTGTTCACTTCTGGCTTTAGAGTCTTGTTCCAGAACTTGAGTGTTTGTGCACATTTGTTTTATAAATCTGGCTTATTTGTTTGTAATCTGTTGGTTTATCATCTCTTAGGCAGAAACACACTGACTTCAAAGTAAATACAACTAATTAGTCATCTTTTATGACATGCTTGTCTACCAACCCCCCCCCCCCCCCCCTCCTGCTCCCAATGGGGCCCTGGGACCCTTACAGAATATGCAGAAATAGAAACAAGTACCTAATCTGGAACTGACCCTTTCAGCTGTTAAAAAGAGGACTGGTAAATCTGAGGCAATTTTAGTCGTTTTAAGTTATGCACAGTATGAAAGTTAACTAAAGCAAGAAAAGTTGCATCCAAAAATCAGCAAGAGCTCTAAAGGAGAATTTTAATTATAGTTAACAAATGCAATGCATACCTGGCATGCGCTCTGGGTGTGGCCTCATGGGACTGGAAGCCTAAATGTATAATTACAGAAGAGTTTAATTAGCCTGTTACAAATAACTAATGATAGTAACAATAATAATAATTATCAGGTAAAATTAAGGAATCGATACAGTAAGTCGCCACCATCTGTGGATTAAGCGTTGTGAATGTACTTCATAATGCTGGAATGCCAGGTTTAATCCCTGCTGCAGGCCATTTGGCAGCAGATCACCTTGCGTTAGTTTTTAACACTGGTACTAAGAGCTGGTCGGCTCTGTGGCTAAGTCGATGCGAAGGCCTTGTAATGCCGGGATGCCAAGTTCGATTCCAGCTGCGGGCCGTGCGCCTTGCCTTGGTTTCGACAGTGGTATCAAGAAAGCCGACCGTCCAATGGCAAACTACTGGACGTAAATTTGCATAGAAAAACGTCCTGTAAAGGATACGCAACTAACTAACTAACTGAGAGCTGACCGTTCACAAGGTAATGACAAACTACTGAACGTAAAATATGTCTACAAACAGCCACAAAATTCTGGGGCTGGTTCTGCAACGTCCTGTAAAGGATACTCAAATAACTAACTAAACAGTAAGTCAGTCAGTTAAGGTGCCAGTGGAATTCACACAAAATGTCCTTTACTGTCCCATTTTTAAAAAAGTCGAAAATGAACTAGTCCCAGCAAAATCTTGAAGCTCGCACAGGCACAGTAAATACATGAGGCAGCTATAACAGCCTCCCACCAGAACTGCGGATCACTGTTGATGCAAGCAGTCAATCAAAAAAGCCAACATCTGCATACGCCATTCTGAATGTAATCGGCTGCCTGCCAAATTTTTAATGCAGTTAACAGCAGTCACTTGTAATTAGACAGAAGGAAAAAATGTCAAATACCTTCTTCTTAATGATTTCAGTCCCAATGTCATAACCAAGAAGTGTAAGGTGAGTCGTTCGGTATGGAAAGAGTTAAAGTGCCTGATTCTTCTTCTTCTTCATTTGCTGGCTTTAAATTCTGGCAAAAAGTTCTGATTTATCCACTTCTGGACTATATTCTTGTTCCAGAGAGTTTTAGCAGATCCGGTTAATTTGTATGCAGCTGCTGGTTTCTCTCCTCTCAGGCAGCGGAGGTCAAACTTTAGAGGGAACACCCCTAAATAGACGCCATGCTTACCTCCAAGATTATGCCCCGGAACCTACACTGGCATCAAATGAATTAAAACCTACCTGTAATATTCATAGTGCATATTGGAAAGAGGAAAACTAACCAAGGCTAAATAAATGTGTGCATAGATATTTTCCAGCAAAAAAAAGATACATTTTGCAACCTGGTTGCAACAGGCAAAAGCAAACCAGTCCTTTAATGAAGAACAAAGAAGATTGATTTGCTGATCTTCTTCTTTGTTCACCGGCTGTAAGCTCCGACATATCTGGTTGTTCTTCCATTTGGATTTGGCTTTGTGCCAGGGTCTCAGTTTAGCATGTACAACAATCCTACTGTTTGTGTGCAACTGATTGTTCCTTGCCGCTCAGGCAGATGCATTCCAACTTCGAAGCAAGTCCCCAATTAGCCGACTCCTATGACATGCTTTGTTCTGGAGGCAGTGGGCCTATTCTTGTTTTCTCCACAAAGGGGCCCCTGAACCCACTGTCAATGTCTGTATTATTTTAAAGCAATCTCTGAAGTCTCATCAGGTCTACCATAATGTGTGAGTGAGTGAATGAGTATGTGAGTGAGTGAGTGAGTGAGAGAGAGACAGAGAGAGAGAAGGCAGTCAAGGTACAGACATTACTAACCATGAAAGAATCTGGCGGCGGACTGGAAGCCAAAAAGAAGTCTTGGTACTCATTGCTAACTGCAAGAACCCAAACATAAATCATACGCTTGATTAGTGATACAATCTAACAAATTCACAAGTTGAACATAACTTCAGTTAAATAAGAGCTACTGCAGGCAGGCAAGCTGATACCAACAATTAAATAACTAAACTTTAAAAGTAAACTAAACATATTTTCAGAAAAGTGGCTGGTGGACTAGCTCTGTGCCTAATGCTGTAATATGTTTGCGCTTGCTGTTTTGTTGTGACTACGGCTTCCATCAACTATGAATCGCAATTCTAATGACAAACTGTAAGTGTTGGCATCTCTGGCTTATGTGTTGGATGCATATGCAAGCTGCTGGATTTTGCTAGAAATACTGTTTGTTTGACTCTTCACATAGTGATAAGATATTTTGCGGCTTTCACTGACTCAGGAAAGGAGCAATTTTGGTGTAACCCGTTTGCGATGGTCGAAAAACCGACTGATAGCTTGAAGAAAATAAACATAAAAGAATCATCAAAAATATCATCTGAAGGAAGAAAAGAAGGCAAGCAAAAAATGCAACCAAATGTTTCAATCAGTCTTCATCAACAGATAACTCTTGGTGTTGACTCTTAGTAGGTAGGTAGTAGTTGTTCCTTCCAGGACTACAGTGTGCAGGATTAACACCTCAGGGATAAGAATCCCAAATCCCAGAGGCCCCATTCAAAGACACAGCAGTTATATTGGGACCCCCAATGGTTACACAGTAACCAGAAGTCTAAACCAGGCAAGGACTTGATACTACATAAACTCCTTCAGTCCCACAGTTTTATACCATAAGTCCAAGGCATGTAAGGGTGTGCTTAAGCACTTGGTACTGCAGCCAGCAGTATTAAGGTTGGCTAGCTTCACTACGGACAGCTAAAAACTATGAAATCAAGTAGCCAGCCAACAACCTGTGGTGCACCCAGGTCAACCCCACCCCTTTGTGGTGCATGGTAGAAGCTGAAGGTTTCCTTACGTCATCAACATCGTTCTGCAAACATGTCCAAGCCAACATTATCTTCTTCCTTTTGATCTTATGAAAAACTTGCTCCACTTGTTCAAACATGGTACAATGTTCTAAAATTCATGCATTAAAACACAAAAGGTGTATTAGGATTCACAGTTAATCTGCTGACTTCCTTTCGGCTTTAATTCTCAGTTAGCATTTTGTCAGCTGCAGAATTGTTTTTCCACCAGTTCAATGTTTTACTCAATTCTGTTTCCACAGCAGGGAACTTTTTAAAAATTACTAAATAAAAATATTTAAAAAAAAAAAAAGTTGGGAGTAAATAATCTCACCTTTCTCATGCATTAGCTGGTTGTCCAGGATGAGATGGTAAGCAATGTACAACTGGTCATGGGGATTGTCAGCCAATAAAGCTCTGTGAACTTCAACCTCTTCCACATTGAATTTCTAAAGGAAGAAGCCGTCATAAAATAGTCAAAACAAGTTTTAATATAGCTGATTAATATACAGACTTAGTAATTCTTCTTTCGTCTTCTCCGCATTCACGTTAGTAAACTCCAGCAGAAAGTTCTGGTTCTTCGTCCACTTCTGTATTTTTGGTCTTATTCCAGGATTTGAGTTTAATATGCACATCAGTAGAGATTTGTATGCAGAGTGTTGGTTCCTCACCTCTCAGGTAGATATATACCAGCTTCGAAAAACCCCTATATAGTCACCTCGTACGACATGCTTTTTTGGGGGGAAATGGGTCTCTTTTTCCCCCCAAAATGGGGCTCCAGAACCCATAAGAACTGGGAAATTAAATAGTATCACTAGGAATTGCAGTATTTGTTCTAAGAGCAAAACTAGAGATAGAAAGCTGATGAGTGGATACAAAAACAATAATTAGATGGCCTATGAGGAGAGGCATAATGAGCAGAAGTGAGAAGTAATTTCAGAGACTCTTATAGCGCCCCAAGAAAAATAACAGGACAACAAGCAAGTATAATCAACTAAGTGGAGTGATTAAAATGTAGAATGAGAAATTTCACCAACAATACGAATCAAATAGGTCTAAACACTCTAAGTTTCTGAACAGACTACAAAAGACACACCACCCCTGTAGATAACTAGCTTGCTGCATAAGTGGAGCCGGATATCAATTCTGAGAAACCATCCAAATAAAAGAGTGATAAAAGGCTCCAGACAGGTTCCAAAAGAGGGTTAAAAAGGACAAACACTAAGGAGAATACACCTCACACACACAAAAAATCAGCATAGACCACACGCAGTTTAGCAGCCTCAATAGCTCAGTCGTACTCAGGAAACCACTTTCAACAACATCTGAAGATCGAAGCCAAATCAAATCACTGGCCCAATTAGGAAAGCAGCCAATAAAAATCAAGCAACAGCAGTACTGAGATGACAGCACCCTAGCCAGTTCACTGCAACGGAGAAGACCCTGCCAGCCAATTAGCAGATGGACATAGGAGATAAAAACACCTAGACAAAATGAAATAACAGCAAGATTGGTCACCACAATTATAAGGATAACTCCAGGAAGCAGTCAGCTCCCTGGGTGACTGCTGAACGTGGTAATTTCAAATAAGATAAGATCTAAAGAAAAAAAAATTTCCCTGCGTGGGTTCCAAATCTCCATTGTGGGGAAAACAAGAATGGACCCACCGCCTCCCAAAAAAGCATGTTGTATGAGTTGATTCATTGGGAGTTTCCTTCAAAGTCAGAATGCATCTGCCTGACAGGTGAGGAACCAACATTCTGCATACAAATAAATCAGAATTGTAAAATGGTGGTGCACATGGTACTCAGGTTCTGGGGAAAAAAAAACAAATCTACAGGTGAATGAACAACCAGAACTTTCTGTCAATTTTACAGCTTGTGACTGCAAAGAAAAAGAAGAAAGACAAAACAGAAAAAAGTTTCAAAACTCATTAAGCATGGGCGAGGTGCTGGTCCAGATGGTATCCAGGTGAAGCTGTAACGGTCAATTTAAAAAAAATAAAACCTGAATTGCTGTACACATTACTTAGATGAGTCTGAAGAAATGCCAGCAGACTGGAGAATAGGAAATATGGTGAAGCTGCCAATTAAAGTGGTATACTGCAGGATAATTCAGTCAGTCAGTCAATCAATCAATCAGGTGCCGTCTCCACAATGAAGGTTGGCTGCAATGGATCTCCAACAAGCCCTGTCTCTTGCCCTTATTGTACACTCGCTCATATTGCTGTTCGTCCATCTCTTGATGTTATCCTTCAACTTGTAACGCTGTCTGCCTCTTGCTCGCCAGTCAGTCAGTAGCATGTCCTTTGCAGAATCTTGCTCCCATAACAACCTTCCAGAAAACTTCTTGATCACAAGCAAGATATCCCAAGTCCAATAACCCATCTAGAGATCATCTGCCACATCCTGCACCCATCTTCTCTTTGGCCTTCCTCTTCCTCTCTTCCCGGGCATATACCATTGCATAATTGTTCTCTAAACTTGTATGACATTTCAAGTAACCAAAATACTCCACCTGTCTGTGTTTTATCGCCTTTAATAGCCAACCTTCTTCAATATTCAATTCTTGAAGTATGGATCATTTGTTATCTATTTTTTTCTACCCATGATATTCTTATTTATAACATTTGCTTTCAAATGCATCTATGCACTGTTCAGCTTGTTTAGTAAGTGTCCAGGTCTCACAGGCGTATATTGCAATGGTAAAGATGCATGCTCTTTAAAAATCGAATTAAAATATGACAATTACAGAGGATAATGCTTTCGTTAAATTTTGAAACAGATACAAAGCAATATGATTCTTGAGAGGTTAAGATATCACTGACAAACAACTAATGGCTGAATAGAGAAACTTCAACAGAAAGCTTACCTCACAAATCTCACGAACAATGTCTTGGTTTATAATAGAAGCATCATGATCAGTTGTTGTTGGGAACAGATAGTCAGGCAAATCCTTCTTGAACCAATCATATTCTCTTCATTCCACAAAAGATCAGAACATACTAGTTATTGTGACTGTTATTATATTCCACTTACTTCAACCACAAATAATTATTAGAACATGTCATTTAATTACAAAAGCAATTATATAAATAAATGTCACAAAAATGCAATAATAAGCTCAAAATCTGACAAGACTATACTCTGTCAATAGAAGGAGTGGATCTATTCCTTGTTCTCCCAAACGGAGCCCCGGTATCCATACGGGGAATATTATACTGAATGAAATTAGGCCTTTGTTTCTACAAGACAGCAGGAAGCAAAAGTCTTCAGCATTCAACATTCTCTATTCCACACAGGTCACAAACAGAACGGTAGGCTCGAGGTCTTTCCTAGTGCTCCAATACTGTGCAGGGTCAACGATCCTGTGGGCTGGATTTTCTTTGACTGGTAAGACATCTTTTGGAGTTTTACAGTACACATCTGACTTATTTGTATGTTGGCTACTCACCTCTCAGTCAGATGCACTCTAAATTCGAAGAAAATACCTATAAGTTGCCCCATTAGACATGCTTGTTAGGAGGCAGTGGGTCTTTTCTCCCTTTCTCGATGGGGCCCAGCAACTGCATAGGGCAGGATCAGGGAGAGACCCATTTGATGTGGGTGTGCTCTGAGTTTACATTGTGACTGAGTCTAAACATTAAAATTAAAGGACTACTGTGATGCCTTCAGGTGTAATGTGTATACATGGCTAACTGTACATTCATATAAACTAGTGATATGTTTTGTGGTCAAGTATCACAGTGCTTTTTCTTCCTGAAACATTTCCTGGTGCCCAATTACATCAAGGTATGCCTACCAGAGAGCCTAACATCAATTGAAAAACTGCTATCTAGCAGACAGCAATATCAAATAATATCCAACAACATGGTTGCCAAAGTAATTATGCCCCTGCATTTTAGTCTACTTCGGTAAACAGGCTATGTTGTCAGATGATTAAACCTATAGTGACTGAGATGTGACTAAACAAAAAGTAGAAATTCCTTAAGGTACACTAAGATATTATAACAAACATGTTATTTTAATTCATTCTGTCTAAAGATGTTACTCTAAACAAACACATGCTCAATCTTCTTCTGTACTCACCCTCACGGGGTGGATGGCATATTGTGCTGTGGTTTACAGCTAGGTTGTGTTATCCATGCCTTTCGGTCCAACAGGTCTAGTTTGAGCAAAGTTCTTATCAGCCACCTTTTTTATATGCATGTTGGGTGGGAGGGCGTGGAAATCACACTAGGATGATGCTCAGATTAAAGGAGCTCAAACAATAACTCTTGGACAGCGAGAGTAACAAGATTAAGTGAATTACACAACAGCTTGATGAGGCAAAAGAAAAAAGCAAAGCATGTAGGGGTTGCCAAAAAAATGCATGATGCTTGAGTTTAACTGTACCTGATATCCTTGATGGTGGCACGTTTCACAGGGTCCACCTGCAGCATGTGACACAGTAAGCTCACAACATCCTTGTTCAGATATTCAGGAATGGCGAAAATACCAGCTGGGAAAATGATGTGAACTAATTAACGTTTATTCTACCAGTTAAAGGAGTTGTGGTAGTGCAGTGGCTAGACAAACGCTTGCCAGCATGAAGGTCTTGAGATTGAATCGGCTCCCAGGTCATCACAGCTTAAAGTAGGCACCAGGAAATGTCCTGGGAGAGGAGGTGGCCAGATTCACGATGATCACATTATCCATCAAGTGTGATTGGTCTACAAATAAATGAGTTAAGCAGTGGCGATGCATGCATGTAATGGCTGTAAGCACGGCTTACACTTTCCACTGCAAAAGAAAAATGCATCATTTACTACTTACTAATACCATTTATCAGAGTTACTAATATTCAGTTTAAACCTCAAAGAAAGCAAAACAAAAACACTCGCACCATTATGCCACTCAAACAGAAACTATCAGTGAAAGCTAGCTGTTACTATAACTACAATATAGCTGCACATGCATACTCAGTCAACAGTGAGGTGACCAGGAGGAAAATATGCGATACCCTCTCCAGTGCAACAGTTACTTGCTAACGCTTTCACATGCAAATTGACCACATCTCACCACTGGAGTTTAGCATCAGATGCCCCATGCGTCATAGGCATGAAAAAAAAGGTAAAGTTGTTTATATGGGGCGAAGGGTTGGTTGGGTTAGAGATACTGTCTCAAATAAGTGGCTTGAATCATGCTATAAATTTTTTACAAAATTAAACAGATACTGAACTTCCCTTCTGACTCTATAATCAGACAAGTTTCCTAAGATAAAGATGAAAAACTAGTATCACAAGATACATGCACAAGAAGTCTTTTGACCAAAAAAAAAATATCAGGATGAACAGACAAGTGTCTAAAACAATTATTTAAATGTCAGCACAAAAATGGGTAATGCAAAAGAGGATGCCGGGTTCAACCCCAGCCGTGGATGATTTGTCTTGCATTGGTTTCGACAGTGGTAGCGAGAGCTTACCATTCAGTAAGCAACAACAAACTATTGAATTTAAAATTTGCCTACAAAATCAAAACAGCTTAAAAAAACTCAGGTGTTGGTTCTGCAATGGCCTATAAAGGATACACAAATAACTTATACCACAAAAACTAAATACTAATATCAGTGGTTCTCAAAAAGCTAAGATCTGCTGCCCCCTGTTATTTTTAAAGGTCTGCCACAGACCCCATACTTTTTAAAAGACATTCTGAAAAACTTGTTATAATTTATAAACATAAGAATTACAAAAAGCATACAACATGAGAATGGAAACATCAAGAAGCAGAGGAAGGCCAAGAAGAAGAACATGGATAGATGGAGTGAACTTGCCGAAATTCAACAAAATCACCTGCAAGCATTATTCCGGAAACCGATCATACCTGCAATGCCTAACAACATTAAGCAGAGCAAGACAATAGGCAGACAGAATCACAAAAGAGTGCATTCTAAAATTTAGTTTTTTTTTTTAAAAATAATATCAAGCTGGAACCTTTCCAACTTTTAAGATGACAGAAAGGCAGGGGAATCGGTCCATGGTCAGTTTGATTAACAAGATCTATTCATGTTAAAAAAAAAAGTCTTCCACAACTAGAACATAAGATTTCAGGACCACTGTTGCCACTGCATATATCTGACGTGTTTTTTCTCAGAAGTTCAGCTCTTATCTGCAGTCCTTTTCTACTTTCTCTTTTCTGCTTCCTGATCTGTCGCCTCCACACAATACGGTCAATGTTTTCTCTCCCTAAATAATATTAGGGACCCCTTAAATTTGTTCTTCGGGCCACGTAACGAGAAACACTGATATCGTTCTTTCAATCCTAGGTTGTTCTTACAACAAATGGATGAATGAATGACCATGGATAGCCAGATTTTTTAGTGTGCTGTGACCAATAGCAAAATAGAGGTGAACACATTACATGCTGACAGGAATTCATGTGCACAAATTTATTATGCATCACACACTGCATGAGACTGACAATGTAAAAGCATTTGAGGTTTAGTAAATACACTGGAGCTGGCTATAAAAGAATACAAAAAGTATGAAAAATTAAGCTAAAAAAAAAAAAAAGATTACTAATAATAACTTTTAAAAAATTTCATATTTATAATAAATGTGGTTACATTTCAAAACGTCTCTACTCACACTTTATTTTTCTGAAAAGTGTTGGAACATGTTCATCATCGAAAGGAAGCTGAAATTATAAAGTTTTAAACATTACAATACACATTAATTTGTGGTAAGGATGTAAAAGGACTATAAGATATTATCCATACAGCTATGACTTCCAACTTTATACAGCTGATAGACAAGCTGATTGGTTTAGTCATTGCAGGTTATTTGCTTCTGACTGGTTAGCTGTTGTATTTGCTCCCACACTGTACTGAAAGTGTATAGTTCTGATGCCCAGCTACTGAAAAGAGTGCATGGCGCAACATTGTGAGTCACAGATTTCATTTGGAGAGCTCTTCTACTGTGCCTGACATGGTTTGTGTTGTGAATTGCAGAAAATGACAAGTGGCCTGTAGCCATGGAACTGGTGGTGCCTTATGCCATTAATTGTACTACTAATTTGTTGTAACTGCTGCTTCCATTGACGAACTGCTTTTCTTTTGCTGGACAGTTTGTGCTGGCACTTCTGACAGTTGCCTTATGCACTCAGTGTGTTTGTATGCTGTTGGCTTTGCTGAGACTACAGTCTGTGTCAACTAGTTCACAAGGAACAGAAATAGACATTCTGTGTGGTTTTCATTGGTCCAGGATTGCAGCAATTATGGGCTACCCCTTTGCTATGATGTTGGAACTGCAATCAACAAATCTGTAATGACTTAAAGAAGGCAATATGTTGACAATGCCAATTATAAAATGCATAACTAAACAAAATGGCAACACTAATTTCAAATCATGACACTGACTCTACATCTCTGTCACTCCATCTACCCTCTACCTTAATTTGAAACTGTTCTTCCAAAAAAAAAGGGGAAATGGGGAATAAAAAAGACAAGGCAAACTGACAGACAGACAGACAGAGAGAGAGAGAGAGAGAGAGAGTAAAAGAAGGTAGGGTGGGGTGACTTAAAGAAGAGAAAACATTTTACGTTACATAGGTAATAAGTACTTTATATGTGATTTAAGAAAAAACAGTGATAATAAAAAATGTCATAAAGACATACAGGTGACAAAAGATTTCCTGTAGGTCTATACATCATAATCCTTGTCAGCATAGAAGATGACATACCAATCTTAGAAGCAGCATGACAAAGAGAAATGACACCTGTCTTTGACTTGGTAAAATTAACAGTATGAATGGTTCAGACTTGTAAAATAAGAAAAGGATGCACATTTCTAATGCAATGTGGTGAAATAATTATGGAAATGATAAATGAAAATGAAACATTCATATCAAAACCATAAACATGAAATCAAAAATATACAAACTGCTAATATCCAGCAGGATTCAAATGTCTTAAAAAAAAAAACGAAATAACTGATTAACTTACAGTCCCACATAGGAGAGCATAAAGAATGACCCCACAACTCCATATGTCTACCTCTGGTCCTGCATACAGCCTTTAAAAAAAACAAGCACAAAAGTAACAGTTTTTTAACTCTTCATTTCAAATGCATAATCATAATTACCCTTGTAAAAAATTTAAATCAATTATCAAAGTGACGAAAAAGGAAAACACAACACCCATATATAATTGTGCTGCAATGGTTGTTGTGACAACTGATCTATGTATCGCTCCTTGATTGTGTTCTTTCTTGCACAACTCTTCCTTTTCACTAGCCTTTTAACCCTGTCACTCCATAAGTCATAAAACATGACTTTTTTTTTCAACTTGAAGTCTAGTTCAGTTTTTTTTTTAAACATTCGGGGAGTTGAAACTCTACACCACTGAGAAGACACCAGAACAAAAAGGCCACTGCTAAACCGTGGCTGCCAAGTCGTTAAAACATAATGTTGTCTATTTTTTCAATCATTATAATTCAAATACCAGAGAATGAAGTTTGATTATATGAAGTGAAATAATCACTAATTACAAAGACAGCAAAGAAACAATTAATTGCTTTCCTTTCCTCTGACCGTAATAAATGTTGACTTTTGCCACATTGAGCAAAGTGACCTAATTATTAATTGCAATATCACAAAAAAAAATGTGGTATTTTTTTCTCACTCCATATAATATCTGACAGACACTCGCCGCAGATCGGAAGGTCGTGGGTTTGCTCCCTGGCAGAGCCGAACTTTAAAAAAAAAATGACCCTGGCTCTCAGGTCGACCAAGCCTTGAGAGGGTTCCGGGTGCAGTCCTGGGAAGTAAAGGCAGCCGGCATGAAGCTGACCACATCACCCATCTTGTGCCGATTGGTCTATAAAATATAGGTCTAGCCCTATTTGCCCTATACGCGTGGAAAAGTGTCCTTTTATTTTTAACTTTACTTACATATAGTCAGTCATCCCACCATGTCTACACAGGATGCGGTTGTAGACTACCACTACTTCTTTGTTCATCAGCTGTAAGCTGATCCACTTGGAGTGTGGCTTTGTGCCAGGGCCTGCCTTTTGCGTGTACATCCGTTTTACCATCTTATTTGTATGCAGTTGGTTGTTCCTTGAATCTGGGACAGATGCATTCTGACTTTCAAGGAAGCTATCAATTAGTCCTCTCCCACGATTTACTTGTTGGGGAAGTGGTGGGTCTATTCTTGTTTTCCCCAAAATGGGACCCTCGAACCCACAAGGTGACAGCTGTAGACAGCACCAAAGCTGTTATACAGATGTAATGGCACCTGCCTAAAGACTTCATGCAGCAAAAGCCCATAAATGCTGGGGGAAAAAAACTGCTTTCTCTAGGTGACTGGATTAATACTGATAGATCATCTTCTTATAATTCTGACACCACCACTTTACTCAGTATATGTGAATCCAATCTTAGTACCTGATATACCTTAAAATAGATTTTGAGCTGTAAATAATTTTCCTTGCATAATTCCATTTTCTTTACTCATTCTGTGGGTCTAATTTAAGCCCTTTAATTGAAAGAATGACTAGACAATCCAACCAAAGAAAGTGAGAAAAACAATTGTCACAACTAAGAATTAAAAGAAACCAGGACAGCAAAAGCACTGAAAAGATACAGAGATTCATTCAATTATCCTGGGTAAATAAACAAAGCAGAAGAAAAAACAGGAAGGCAACCGTCTAGATACTATGATATTGCAGCCCCTTCTTCTTCTCTAGCAGAATGTTCTGGTTGTTCGTCCATCTCTGGATCTTAGTCTTGTTCCAGAACCTGAGTGTTGTGTGCACATCCATTTTACAGATCGCTGCTCCCATAGCAATATGTTATATCTCATAAAATCAAACTCATGTTTCTGTCCTAAAAGGCAAGGTGATCTTACCGCAGGCATTGATACTGTATATTTTAGAATCTTAATGTACTTACTTCCCAGAAATAACTTCAGGGGCAGCATAATTGGGAGAACCACAACTTGTACGCAGAAATTCTCCATCAGTCATCATGTTCGAAAGACCTGCCAAAGACAAACGTTGTCACTTAGTTTGTCAATGCATACTGATATGAATGTAACCATTTCATGTGAATATGAAATATAGTATTTCTTATTAAAAGTGGCTTAAGAGTTGTGAGCACAGTTTTACAATTCCTACATACCGGGGTTTGAAGTCTATTAATTATACACCTCATGCTAAAATTCAATTCCATAACACTCAAACTTGTTTGCCAGGTGAGACCACAGACAGTAACTAAACACAAACTATAATCATAACTTGGGCATTCTCAGCCATGCAAACATAAATTTTCAGAATACCTTTATTTAATTTATGTCTCAAAGTGTTTTCTAACTATTTCCCTCTCCTTTTTTGTTTTGTTTCATAACAGCTCTTCCTGAGCATATTTCCATTATTCTGTATTTTCAATTCTAGGCTGACATTGCCAGTTTATAAATTTGTTGTTTTGTTCATTTATAAAGACTGACTACACATTCAGTTGTATCTGTACATGTCTTTGCCTTTTCCCCATGGTAGCGTGGCCGATGGACACTCAGGGTACTGGGAGCTGAGTGGTCTCAAGGCATGGCGTCCACCTCGAGTGCTGGAGGTCCCAGGTTCAGGCCCCGGTGAAGCCTGGGATTTTAAACGTAGACTTCTAGTAATTTTCCCTGGTCTCTGCGTCGTAAGATCGGATGTCCGTGTGTATTGTTGCGCACGTAAATAAAATCCCTTGGCTGTTGGAAATTGAAAAGAGTAGCCTTAATATGCCGCCCTGACAAAATTTTAAGTAAAAAATCTACCCAAATATTTCAGGATCCTCGCTGCTGCTACTGAGTTTGTACACCGAGCTCAGATTCTTCGGACTCAGGTTTGAGTTAGAAGTAGAACAGAGCACTTATGGGTTACTAACCTTTTGCAATGATGTTGATCCCTTATTTAAACCGAACCAAATCTAAATCCTTTTCGCCACTGAGACTTCTATTCAGTTTGTGTTGTGTATGTACTGTTGCTTCTTGATATAAGTTCATGTGCAGTTGTCATGATTTCTGTCTAAACTTCAGATATCTAACAAGAATTATTCTTTTTTATGTTTTTAATCTTAACAGGGTGGTTGACATGTCATGCTGTGGTTTTTAGCCAGGGGTCTTTTGGTCCAACACAGCCGATTTAAGAAAATCGTTCAATTTTTTTGCATTTTACGACATGTTTGTTAAGGGGTCAACCCACACAGAGATATGAAAACAAAATTTCTAAATAACACACAGGAAACATTTTTACGACTCACCAAAATCAGCAATTTTGACATTGTTATTGGAATCCAAGAGAAGATTTTCTGGCTTAAGATCCCTGTGTACAACCATGTGTCTGTGACAATAGTCCACACCGGAAATTATCTGCTGGAAAAATCTTCGTGCCTCTGGTTCCTTCAGCTGAGGAATGTTAAACAGAGACAGGTGTAAATTCTCTCAGTCACAGAAGCTGTCCAGTAAGAGAAATCGTCTTCTACACGTTCACCAACTGTAATCTCCAATGGAAGTTTCTGCTTGTTAGTTCACTTCTGGTTCTGTTCCAAAACTTGAGTTCTGTGTGCACATCCATTTTGTTCCTGGCCTCTCAGGCAGACGCATTCTTGACTTCAAAGGAAAAATCCCTAATTAGTCATCTTGTACAACATGCTTCTTATAGTGCAGTGGGTCAATTCCTTTAACCCCCAAAATAAAGCCATAGAACCCAAACGGGAAGGAGCTTAGAGGAAAATAATCATAACATTAGTCATTTGGAAATAATAACAAAAGTAATCAGGAAATGATCAAATAAAGGTCCTCAGGATATAATCATAACAGAATTCATCAGGGAGGAAATGTAACAATTACCAAGAAATAATCATAATAGCCATTAAGAAAAAGATAATAATAGTCTTAAGAAAACAACCATAAATATAGTCTTAGGACAAAAATCCTAACATCAGGAAATAACTATAAAACAGTCATCAATGGTGAAATATATAGTTTTCCTATCCTGTAGAGAATAGAAGTACTATATATTTTACTTCTGATGACTGCTGTTATGGTTATTAATTTATGGTTGTTTAATTATTGCGTGTATATTTATAATTAATTACAGTGGTGATTTTCTACACTTCTGATCCACACAGCTGTTCTCCTTTGATAGCGATAGATATTCTAATTTAGTACTAGATTTAACTTATTTAGAATTCCAGTTTTTTTTAGTTCTAAACATTCCTCTTGTCTTTTAGTATTATTATTTAACATCTTTACCTACTCCTCTCATCTCAGCCTACAGCTAACAAAAATATGTTTCACCAAAGGAGATCAGGTTATCATTTTATTGATTTTTTCCCCAAATCTTTGTCTTTCTCAAATCTAACATATAACCTCCTGTTTGGGACAGTGAAGCAATGTTGTCTGAAATGTCACTGAAATCTAGATCAAAATAAAATACTAGAATGAGAATAATGACTCACTCTGCCATGCTTGACGATATAATCAAACAGCTCTCCTCCTGCCACATGCTCCATCACCATGAAGATATCAGTAGGAGTGGAAATCACCTGGTACCTTCACAGCAGACCGGGAAAAAATAATTTTCACATTTAACAAAAGTGAAAAAAAAAGGAACAATACTTATACATTCAAACAAAATCTTAAATATTTTATTTTAAGTAATAAAAAAAAAAAAAAAAAAAAAATTTAGCCCAAAGGCCTTTGTGTATTTGGTGGATTTTGGAGGGGAAAAATATTGACCTTGGCTTTTAGGTAAACTCAATCTAAAATTGGTACCAAGAAATGTTACGGGAAGAAATTCTGACCACATACCTATTAAGTTTGTTCATTCATTTTAGCTGGGAAAAAAAATCTTATTCAACCCTGTTCCCTGATTAAGTTTGGTTATAATCGAGACATTTTATCTCTGTGGTTTGATCCTGATTGTTTTGATTTTTGTTGCCTTTCTTTGCTGGTCATAGTCTTTGTTCACTGTTTGTCTTCTAAGGTGCCAATCGCGTAAAGGACTGGTTCTGGTCGCCCTCCTGTGCTGTTCCTCTTTTGCTGTCAGTGTCTTCACCAAGTGCTGAAGTCCTAAGAAGGACTGGTTCTAACAGGGACTATCGCTGATGTTTCTTCCTCTGTCGTTGGATGTCTGGTATTCAACTCATGCCTTCTTTGACTGCTGTTACAATTTTATTGAGTACCAAATAAAAAAGTAAAAAAAGTAAAGGACCCCTTCCACGCCTTTAGGCGTATAGGGCATATAGGGCTAGACCTATATTTTTATAGACCAACGGCACAAGATGGGTGATGTGGTCAGCATCACGCCGGCCGCCTTTACTTCCCGGGATTGCACCCGGTACCCACTCAAGGCTGGGTCGACCTGGGAGCCAAGGTCATTTTTTGAAGAAAAGTCTGTCTCCGCCAGGGAGCGAACCCACGACCTTCCGATCCGCGGCGAGCGTCTAGCCGCTCGGCCACGGCGACTCCCTGAGTACCAAATGGTCTATACAAATATGAGGCCACATCATATGCCCGATGTGCCACTGGTGTAAAAATAGCCCATTACTTTATAATTTACTTAACTATAAAATATACTTACAACTTAATGATATGTGGGTGTCTAAACAATTTGAGATTCTGAATTTCCCGGCGAATTTTCCCGACGACATCAAGATTTTTTATCTTCTGCCTATTGAGAATTTTCACTGCAACTTTGTGTCCAGTCAGCTGATGTGTGGCAACTGAAAGAAAGATGTATCAGAAATTAGTTAAGCATTAGGGAAGACAGCTTTTGTATACTACTTCACACTTTTTTTCCTAGGGAAGTCATCAGATCCAAAATCCAGTTATGTCCCAGTACTGAATTCAGCAAAGATTTGTGAAAAATGTACTGGTGTAAAAAGGTCTGTAAGATGTTACTACTTGTAGTCAGTATAGATATTAAAGTAGCATTATGTCTTTTTATGGGCCTGTAAAGTTCTAAGGAGTATAGGATCTTGATAATTAGAAACATCAAATGCACTACCGGTGATAGCTGACAGGCAATAAACAGAGCTTAGAACAAAAAATGTCATGTTAAAAAGAACCAGATTTAACATTAGACTGTAAACCCTGGACAATTACTAAAGAAAGATCCCTGTGTTGGTGCCAAGCCCCACTGTAGATGGAAAAAGAATAGACCCAGGGCCCCTGACAAGCATTTTGTAAAAGTCAGTTAAACTGGGGTCTTTTCTTCGAAGTCGGAGTGCATCTGCCTGGAAGGTGAAGAATCAACAGTCTGTATACAAATAAGCCATAAAACAGCTGTGCATGCAAAACCGAAGTTATGAAAGAAGATTAAAGTTCAGAAATGGATGAACAACCAAAACTTTTAAATGTTTACAGCAAGTGAATGCTTTGAAGAAAAAAATCATACATCAGAAGCCATGTTAGTCCTAAAAAGAAATAGAAGAAAGTTACATTATATCAGTTGAGAAATTATAACAGTAAGACTATGCACATCTTTTAAATTATGTAACATCCATCTTTAATCTGCCTTGGTTTTAGCCTACAGCTTTAAGGAAAACTAAAAGACTGGAAGAAAAATCTAGCCAAGCAGGTCAATGGTGTCTGTATAGTCATGACAGATATAACCAGGTCTTTTGTTTACAAAAATGGTGCTGGTTCTCACCACAGACTGTCTAAAAGAAAAGGTGCCTGGGCTATCCTTCAAATAGCGGGTACATATTATGGCGTCCGCAAAAACACCCTAACAGGGCCTCAGTCACATGCCAATTGCACACTTCCGTCGAATTAATTTGCGGACTTCCGGCGACTACCGCCACCGTCGAGAGTATCCCCCACCCGGGGTGGATTGGGGCTAAACTAGATGGTTGGGACTCATGAGCAGCAGATTCCGCATCTCCTGCAGCTATGCTCATGAGTACCAGCCATCTAGTTTAGCCCCAATCCACGCCGCATGAGCGGCGTGGGGATACTCTCGGCCGTGGCGGCAGTCGCCAGAAGTCCGCAAATTAAGTCGCCGGAAGTTTACAATTTACATGTGACTGAGGCCCTGTTTTTGGCCGCTATAATATGTGCCCGTTATTCGGAGGATAGCCGGTGCCTGCATTCAGCACAAAGTGTCTATTAAGGTAGTGCCAGAAAAAAATGATGCCGAAAGTAAAGTGATGGCACTGCTAACTAAAGGTTAACCATACCATCCCGAGATTTGAAAATCACAATCTGGATGGTAGACCAACAAGACAGATGTCAGATACCCCAGTTGACCTCGAAAGAGGTTATAACTGGGGCGCCTGTTAACAGCTACATCAGCCAGTGTAACCTACAGTCCTCCTATATGGGTGAGGATGGTTACCGTCAGGCTATGTTTAACCAGCTTCTTTCCAAAAAGGAATTTCTGGATATGTTATATCTTTCAGTCCCAGGGGGGTTGTTAGCATCAGAGAGATATAAAATCGGTGCATGTCAGAACTGTATTTAAAATTCATAAATTTTATTAAAGGCACTTATTATAGTTTTGAATATAATTTCAGAAAATTGAAATTGCAAATGATAAAATTAGTATATTTTCGCATTCGTTCAGTTGTCGACTACCGTTGACTACGCCACCCTAAGCAAAGGTTAGGTTTGTACGCCATTTTCACAAACCAAAGCCTTAAATTACATTTGCAGCAATATCTAAATAAACATTCCGAAAGTAAAACAAACAACGAAGCCATGTATCTTACTTTTCACTTTCCCAAACGTGCCGACACCCAACGTATCGCCCAAAATATAGTGCCCTATTTTCACTTGGGCTCCACTTTTGTCCGCCATGTTGAGGAAGATGTTATGATCGTCGAACAAGGTCACGGACACTTCTGCTGCAGTGTGTAACCAGGTTTTTGTTGGATCAGAATGGCGAAATAAACACCTAGTGCACTAGTGTCATTTTTTACTGCAGTATGCCAACAGTAGTCATCAAAACACACACATTTCTTATTTTGATCCATGTCACATCGTAAATATAATTGAAGAAAATAGTAAAAAATTGAGGTTGTTGACATCCCCAGACAGCGTGTCCTCAAATTGACCTGGTCTAGCCAAAAGAGTGTTTTGTTATTAATTAATTATGGAAACTTTCCAGCATCAAACGTATCATTGTTATGTTATCTTTCCTATAGTTATGTCTTCAACAGATCCTATTGTGATGCTTCTTGCACAAATAATCTTTGAACTTACTGTGTTTGGTTATGAATCTGAAAATTAGTATGTTTACAACTGTTTGTAAGAAGTAATTTGCATATATCCGTTACCTGAGTGCTAAGTAGGGGTCAATTTCCGCGAATTTTTGTCTGTTTGGTGTATGGTGCTAGCTCGCTTTTTTATGTGGAAATCGGCACTTGGAGTATGTGTTAAATATCACATATATCTGCCTTACTCACATGGCGATCCCATGTACCCATTTTAGACTAGGCTGTCCTGAGAGTTTATGTATGCTACCCTCCTTGCTCGGAATACAAACATGCAACCACTGGATAGTTAATCAAGCGTGATTACTGGATGCCGAAGCTACTTGGCTACTCTTGGTTTACCTATATCCTCCAATGAAGCATAAAGCGTCAGCCAACTCGAGCTAAGAAGGCATGTCTTTTGCCGCCGTGTGCAGCTCCATCCATGTAATCTCTATTCTGTTCACCACTTAGTCTATTTTTCGTGATACCTGTGCCTCCTTTTAATTCTTTGACCATGAGATTTCCAGTGCAATGATATTCTAATTCTATGATCGTCTTTCTTCTTTCCTCTGCTCCTGGAATGTCTGGCGGCGTCAGGACATGAAGAGATCTATGGAACGGGCCCTTCTGTTCGCTTCGTACAAAGAACTTTTCACTGTCTCTGAAAGCCTATTTCTGCGGTCCATTTATGTGCAGTCGACCTCTGGCTCTGTTACGCCGTATCTGTATAACAGTGCTCTCCGTGATACCCTGTCTGATACCAATCTTGTTACATGGCCAAACCATCTGATTTGTTGTCTACCTATAAACTTCAGTATTTTTTCTTTGCCAGCTCTTCTCCTGATATCATCGTTCCCAAGTCGATATTTCCTCGTTACATTTTATTTCTGTCGTGACCATTTTCCTTCTGTCTTCTGAAGACAGTGTCAATGTTTGACATTGATAGCAGAGCGTTGGTAAGAATATTGTGTTAAACAGTATTCTGTTAGTGACAAGATGCCAAAGAGGACTCAATGCACTTAAGAAAAACCACCAAACACCCTAATTATAACCTACAAACACAGATCACCAGGGTCAACACATAAAAAAAAAAAAAAAAAAAACTGGCACCCACTCAAGGCGGGATTGACCTGAGAGTTATGGTCATTTTTCAATAGAAAATTCCTCGTGTGGGTTCTGGGGCCCAGTTGTGGGGAAACCAAGAATAGACTAACTGCCTGCCCAAAAGCAGGACGTAAGAGTCGACTTTGGAGCTTCCTTAGAAGCTGCATCAGTCTCACCAGACTGTGGTGATCCATCTGCTCCTCCGAAATGTACACGCTCTCCCACAAGGCACTAACCACGTCTGCCTTATCATGCATCAGTATTCCACCAAGTTGTGCATAGCCAGGCAGTCTGTCCGCCTGTTCATTTCCCAACACACCGGCATCTCCCAGTGAAAAAATCCAGACAATACTCCTCACCCTTGTCCCCCGTAGTGAAGAATGCCACTCTGCACGAAGCATGCCTGTCCTGACCTTTCTCAGCATGCTTTCTGAGTCAGTTACAATCACGATGTGTTGTGTGTGTGTGTGCCGTATCCTGGATAAGAAGAATGAAATTGGAACATTGTGTGACCTCTAGACAGATTTGTGAAAGGAGAGATAAGGAAGACAACGCAAAACGATTCTTTACAACCTTTTGTCATAGCAAGGAAAAAAAAAACGGGGGGGGGGGGGGGACCTAAAGATCCCAGATTTTCGAGAAGCAGGATAGATCACTTGATGATGGTGACTGCAGGGTCTTGAGCCACCACCATGAATTAAGTTCATGTCTGTCGCTATTTGAGGTGTTATATTGTAATCAACCTGTGTTTACTATACCTTCAAATTGTCCGATTATCAGTCATATCTTCTAATTTTTATTTCCACTTTGGTTTATGATGATGATGACACCTGTGAGTGCAAGTCACTATCCCTGTGACAGTACATAATTGCTGACTACTCAAATCTGCGTCTGCGCATGCGCGCCGACATGTTTGTTGTCAAGAGAAGCTGAAGACACCGCGAGTGTTTGTCAGTGAGTTGATTCAGAGATTCACGGTAAATATTTTCAGTCATTCTTCAATATTTCACACAGATGTGGGATATTATAGTGAATTATACAATTGTTTATTTGTATTTGTGCTAGAGTAGATATAAGCTATTATTTTCCAACCACGCCTGGTTGCTAATGATGCCCAAGATCACCCGCGTAAGTAATCCGACTAGTTGCCAGCCAATACTCAATACTAAGAGTAAGAGACCCTTCTTCGTCCTGACATGTCAAAACTGACAAAACAGTCAGAATTTTGTCCAGTTGTGATATTTTTTTATTTAATGTACAAATGTATGTAACGAAAGCTTACACAGTCGTCAGTGTGTTATCGGGTTCCGGCATATGGAGAAACAAGTAATCACAAACAAATAACTGTAACTTGGTTAAAGACCTAGTCAAAGACTAAAGTTAAAGTTAAACGTGAGATTAGTGATTGGTTGGCTGCCTTCTGAATATTATTAGTTTTTTTTTTTTTTTTAAACAACACTTTAGCAGCATAATGAACGATGATAATCCAAACAGTTATGAATGCGTGTTTCAACACTGGGCTGTCGGTTGAGGGTCTCTCCATCTGGGGGACGTCAGGCAAACTGTTACATGATTAACGGTAACTAACGAAATCTGCATTTTATGAATTATAATTACGTGTCAACAAAGTTCATTACTTATGTAGTTATGACATTGCCTTATTGTAGTTCAAGCCTAGCTCCCATGACAGAACTAATGAAACTATACATTAGACATTCCTAAAGCCATAAATAATGTTTAGAAAATTTGGCACTCTTCCGAATACCGGCCCCATATTATTCAAAGACAAAAAATCCCATTCAGGGCCTCAAGAGGTCGTTGTTAGGGACCTAAGAGGTCATGTTGTTAAAAATATGGAACAGGAAATGCCTTCTTTTATTATATAAGTACGTTTGAACGAAATTACCGAGTGTTCGCTAGTACAGTTGATATGCAGTCTGCTTGTTACACCGGTGATCAGGTTGATCGGGGTTCGATTCTCCGGCGGGCCAAAAGAAAAGAAAAATATTTTTCTATTTTTTTCTTCAAAAGGGTGCGATATCTGCGCCTTTACTCGGTCTTGTGGTTAACAGCTAGGTTGCGATAGCGGCGGCAAATTTTTTTTTACTTTTAAAAGGGTGGTTTAGACGTTGTTTTGTAGTATTGCATGTTGTGTTGTGGTTAACAACTAGGCTGCGATATCTGCGCCTTTACTCGGTCTTGTGGTTAACAGCTAGGTTGCGATAGCGACGGCAAATTTTTTTTCACTTTTAAAAGGGTGGTTTAGAAGTTGTTTTGTAGTTACAACAGTTGATAAGCAGTTAAAAGGGTGGTTTGCACGTTGTGTTGTGGTTACAACTAGGCTGCGATATAGGCTGCGATTGCGCCTTTCGCTCGGTCTTGTAGTTAACAGCTAGGCTGCGATAGCTCTCCGGCGGGCCAAAAGAAAAAAAATATATTTTTCTATTTTTTTCTTCAAAAGGGTGCGATATCAGCGCCTTTACTCGGTCTTGTGGTTAACAGCTAGGTTGCGATAGCGGCGGCAATTTTTTTTTTACTTTTAAAAGGGTGGTTTAGACGTTGTTTTGTAGTATTGCACGTTGTGTTGTGGTTAACAACTAGGCTGCGATATCTGCGCCTTTACTCGGTCTTGTGGTTAACAGCTAGGTTGCGATAGCGACGGCAAATTTTTTTTCACTTTTAAAAGGGTGGTTTAGAAGTTGTTTTGTAGTTACAACAGTTGATAAGCAGTTAAAAGGGTGGTTTGCACGTTGTGTTGTGGTTACAACTAGGCTGCGATTGCGCCTTTCGCTCGGTCTTGTAGTTAACAGCTAGGCTGCGATAGCGGCGGCGAAATGCTCAATGGTCATGTCACGGGCAGCTAATCTCCTTTTTTTTTTTTTTTTTTGTTCGCCCTTGAAATGGCGGTTGGCATAGTGTATTGTGGTTTACAAATACGCTGCTATATCTGCGCCTTTCGTGCTAGGTTGCGATATCTGCGCCTTTCGCCCCAACACATCTGATTTCAGCAGTCCTAATTAGTTGCCTTTTACAACATTCTCTTCAGCCGCACTTGTGATTACGAGTATGTTGTAACATCACTAGACATCACTAGGTAGATTACGTGTATCACATTAATGTGCGAAATTCGCTTGCTTAGACAACTGGACCCGCTATCCTGTTTAAACTCTGGACATCAAAGTTGTCGACTGGTCTGAGAATGCCCGTTACGTCTCAACTCTAACCCTCGGTAATTAGCCACCTGCCCGTCCGCAAGTTCGGGTCTTTTGTCCGTTCGACTGGAAGATTGCATAATTTTTCAACGTAGATGCGTTCCCTGGTCCAGCTGTTAAGCTAACGTTAAATTCCACTGAGATAAATTGTTGGTTGGTCAGACACTTTGATCGCCGCTAGGAAGATCGCTTGGGTTTGCTGTTCAGTCACCTCATTGTTTCACTTTGTAAAGGTTTCTGTTGGACTTGTGTACTTTTGTTGTTGTTGCGTTTAGAAGGAATTCTG